TATATATATTAATATATATATGTATTATATATATATATATATGTATATAATATATATTATATATATATATATAGTGTATATAATATTATATATGTATATAATATATATATATTTATATATATAATATATATATATATATGTATATATTACATATGTACATATATATGTGTATGTATATATATATATATAATATATAATATATATAATATATATATATATATATATATATTATATAATGTACATATATATGTGTATATATACATATATATACATACATATATTGTATATATAATATATATATATATATATTATATAATATATATATACATATATATATATATGTACATATATATATATACATATATATACATACATATTTGTATATATATATATATATATATATATAATATATATATATGTACCATACTATATATATATACACATATATATATATACATATATATACATATATGTATATATGTATATATTATATATATATATATATATGTATATATGTATATATATGTATATATATATATATATATTAATATATAATGTTATATGTAAATATATATATATATATATATATCATATGTACATAAATATATATATACATATATATATATATATGTACATATATACATATATATATTATACATAATATATACATATATATATATACATATATATTATATTATATATATATATATATATTTATATATATATATATATATATATATATATATTATATAATATACATATATATATATCACACAACTTTCCTCTGGTTTTGCTCAGTCTAAGGATACCCAAGGGAGTATGAACTAAAGCATCACTGGTATTTCCATGGTTAATTAAGTTATGACTCTTATTTCAGCAAAGATAATTAAACACTAGAAAAATGCTAACAAATATAGATTTTATGTCATATCCTTAAATATAACGTAGATCTCCTTATAAATCCTACTTATATAATAATATGAAACAAAAGTATAAATAAAATTAATAAAGCAGTAATGAATATCACGTCAATGTTGTTAGTCTTTGCCAGAACACGTGATCATGTTTAAATCACATTTCATTGAATAAATGTCAATACAATATCCACACATGTATTATGAAAATATCACTGAGGATTTCTACTATTCTGCTGAAGTACTAGTTATGCGCAACAAGTGAAAATAGAGTAAATTCAAGCAATGTAAAATGATACAAATCTTTCGTCAAACCCAAACCGCCATGATCCACTGACACCCTGTAAACATTCAAATCAAAACTAGCTAGACTTTGTTTACGCCAATATGGCAATTACTAATGCCTTTCAAATCAAGTAATTTTACTTTATCCCATATAATTATGAAACCATCCACATTTACACAAATAAGTCCCAATAGACTATATAAGCATTTACGAATGCAAAAGAACGAAAACGTATTCAACGTGACCAAAGAAAACGGTTAATTCACCTCAGACTTAACTATATCACATTCTTTATGATATATATATGTATATAAATATACATATATATATATATATATATATATATATATATATATATGTACATATATATACATATATATACACATATATATATATATATATATATATATATATATAATAATATATATATATATATATATATATATATATATATATATATATATACATGTATATGTGTGTGTGTGTGTGTGTTTGCCTTTTTAAAGTAATTTACACAGAACAGTTGTCACTTCAACAAATGTAGAAAAAGCCAAGAATGAAATCAATATCCTTAGAGAGCAAAAGATGCATCTGTGAAAATATTCATTCTCAGTCATACAGCATTCTACGTCCTGCACAGCCATGCAAATCCATCCAAATTTATTGGAAGCGAAAATAAGTTTAGTAAATAAGTTTAGCGAGAAAGATCAGAGTGGCTATTCACTTGGAGGTATAACTTACTTTGTCAAACATATCTAGATTATTTCATCCAATTTAATAGATCATATATTTTGATAACTGAAAGGAAACGTAATTGCAAAAATTACCTTTGAATGACTGACAAAGACATCATTTAGTTAAAGCACAAACATTCAGATGCATAAAAATATTAGGTCATAGAATAGGTCATTGCAGAAAACATAATTAATTAAACTTTGATCAGTAGAGAACATGCATAACACATTCCTATGACAATCCATATGAATAAAAACACAATAAATACAAAAACAGAATAATAATATAGTATTTATTCAATCTACAACAAAGTAAAGACAAAAATGACGATCCTTTTTGCTAGACAATAACGGCATGACATGATCCAAAACTTCCAGGATTTTTTCACGCATGACGCAGTTCATCTATTTCATTCATGACTAAAGAAAACACTCTCATGAAACTTCAAACCTTTTACTTCGGCGTTCGCTTTATGCACTGTTGCAGGACCTGAGAGGCATCTGGCTCGTCTCCCCGCGCAAAACAAACCACTTGCACACTGTTTACTTCGGATGGTTACCAACGCCCCATGACAAATACAATGAAACAATAAGATTATGTTTATGCCATGTAAATGGTATAAACACGTGAAAGTATGAGAATGGGAAAAAAACATGTTTTCAGATTGTGCGCGTAAGGGGAAAAGGAAAGATATGAAAAATCATTGTTTGAACAGATATTTTTCATTCTTTCTGAGACAAAGGGCCATGGATCCCGCGCCCCCAGATTCTGTCACGAAATATAGTGTTCAAATAGGATCGAAGTTGGTGATTAGCGTGATAAATAACCACAACGTTATTTGAAGTCTCCGAGCCGAATATGTGACCTTAATGCTATAAAAAACTTAAAGGAAAGTATCAGTGTCTAAACGTAATGCTTGATGCTTTTCCACTGAGGTACAGTAACGTTTTTCACAATGTTTAGAACTTTAGAAACCCGTCTCTGGCAACTTAAGTCTTTGTTAATTTGGAGAACGAATAGATTTACATGTGTGTCTACGAAGCAATTTTCTTCAGTGGCTTTACTTACAAAGCTTGGCTTTACTTATACAAGCTAGACATTAGTATGTTTGGATAGCGTTTTTCAGATACGCTGCGTCTTTGGTGAATAAAAATAAAAAAAAAAACAATATGTAAATTAAAATAAACCAAACAACAACTCTATATAAACAATTATATATAATATTATAGATATTAATATATATATATACTTATATATATATCTATAATATACATATACTACTATATACTACATATATATCTAATCATCTATATGCTCTTCTCTATTGCATACATATAATCTATCTATCATCTATCTATCTACCTATCTATCTATCATCTATATATCTATCTGTCTATCTATCTATCGTGTGTATCT